ATTTTATTAAATAAATTAATATATTTTAAAACTTGCAAGAAATAGGACGTAATATTTATATTTGTAAATTTATTTTTTACAATTAAAAAATTATTAATTTTTTCTATATTTAAATAAATTCGGACCAAGCCGGGCGGGCTAATAATTTTTATGGTTGCGTTTTCCTGGACAAATATATGAAAAAATTGGGGATATGGCAGAGCCTAACAAATTTTTTTAAAAATGGATCATGCTTAAAATATTAATCCCGAAGCAGATCACTAATTGATATCATTTATTAAATTTAAATTCGATGAAAAACCCATATGTAAAAATAAATTTCAGACAAACCGAAATAAAATAATCACAATTTGACGGGTTGGGTCGGGTTTAACTAACATCAAATAAACTACAATATGAAAATAAAATAATATTCTAATATTTTTCAACTATGCTAATAATATACTAGTGAATATTTATTTAATCAATCAAATTATTCGAATACAAATAAAAAGTAATTCAATAAACATTTACCTGTATGATTCTTATCATTGTGATGTGTCTTAAATATTTCACCCAATTCGGACAATATAATAATTAGCTTGTTTTTCTTCGAACACATTATAGTATTATTTTTTAAATAAAAAAGTCCTTTAATTTTAGATTTTAGTTTGGCATCTATTCCATCAATATTTGTATAATTTTTCGTCATGAGAATTTGTTTAAAAATATTATATTCAGTAAGATTTTTAGGTAACTAATTGGGGCATTATTAAAAATATTAATATTTTGAATTATAAATATATAAAAATGAAATTTGAAATTAAGTACTAACTAGAAAAAAAATTCTAAATCTTAACTTTTTTATTTCCTTTTATAAAAAATTTTTTTCTTTTCCATTTATTATAGGAAAAAAAATTGAAAGAAATTTTTGTTTGTAGTATTTTTATAATTAATCATTTCCTAAAAAATAAATCTTACTATATAATGAACATTATATTAAATGAAATAAAATGGAAATAAATTATGACATTAACATTATTGAAAATTAAATATTTTAAATTTGAGAAGGAGAAAGAGGGAGATAAGAAGAAAGGAAGCATTTTATAATGTTGTTAAAAGCTACTTTTAAAAATAGCGTGCTTTACCTCTATTTTATAAAAATAAAAAGGCTATCGCTATATTTTCAAAAATGTAGCGCACTATCTTATGGCCAGTTGAAATATAGCTTGTTTAGACTAGGTCATAAAATCACATAAACTCATCTAACTCAAAAACATTATAGATGCTCTAATTTTTTTTAAAGATATATTTTTGTTTGATATATTACCTTTAAATGTTTTCTCAAGTTGAAGCAACTTTTGATGATAAACCTCGGCCACATCTTACAGCAAAATTTATATCCTGTGTTAATTTTTTTTATCGAGATTAAAATAATTTGTGAATTAAGGAAAAGGAAATTCCATATCATCATCATTTTCAAGGGATATTCCTTTGTCGATATGATCTGTACCAAAATTATTTTAATTATCATTCTCTACTGTCGACATTTAAAAATTTTTATTTTTTTGAAAAATATATTTACAATGCATATTTTTAAATGTAAATTTAAATTTTAAAATAAAAATATTATGATTTTAGAATTAATTATATAATTATTATAATAATTTTTGCTATTTATTTAGTAACGAGCTACCGTTATCTCTTTTTTAAAAAAATGTTGCACGCTAAAGACATTGATACTAAAACAGAGTTGTTAAAGTAGCGCGCTACTTAGCGTGCTATCTTTTTTGGTAGCTATAGCTAATAGCCGCTACTTTTAAAAAATATAATAAATGTAAGTATAAACATGAAAATTTAAATATAATATCATAATTAATTATAATTTTTATAATTTATTATTTAATTTTGAAATTTAAATATATTTTCAATTTTTAATTTATATTTTCAATCTGTGTTAATAATCTAAAATGGCATCGCCCATGGATAACCAAATCCTTGAAAGTGATTCAAACATGGAAGATTCAATGGAAGAAAATGTACTTAATAGCTCTAATAACGATTTCACATTCCCTAGATTTGAAAAATTTTTTAAAATAAATATTAAAACAAAATCTGGATTTAAATTCCTGTGCTTAAAATGTAAAAAAAATATATCATCAAATCAATCAAGTAGCTATAACCTGAAGAAACACCTAATGGTAAATTGTTATTTTTACATTATAATATTATTTATTTTATTAGACTGTTCACGCCAATTACTATAAGGAAATAGAGAAACATATAAAAAAATTTGGTATAAGAGAATCTTCATTCAAAAATACAAATACTATCCAAACCAAATTAACTGATAATAAATATGCCAATATTTCACAAAAATTGTCTGATAAAGTAATTGTTGATTTTATTATTGACACAATTCAGCCATTGTCCTTGGTTGATAATCCATCATTTACTATGATGATTAAAACTTTATCCCCTGGCACAACAGTTTTATGTCGCCAGACACTTATGAATAAAATAGCCGACAACTTCAAAGTGATGAAAGATGCTCTAATAGTAGAGTTATCAGATATATCTTATGTATGTACACCGGCAGATAGTTGGACACATAACAGAAGGTAAAAACTTATTTATATTTATAAATTGATCTGATTAAATATTTTTAGAGCTTCCTTGCCCTCAAGTGCTAGTGTCTAGAGATTATTTAGTAAAGCAAAGCTTATACTTTCTGATCGTCGCTCTAGACTTGGGGATGATAATATTAAAATATTATTATTAAAATGCAACAAATTAAAATAAATATTTATTTATATTGCTTATTTATTATACATTTACATTGTAAGCAAAAAAAAATAAAAAAAATTTGTTTCATTTGTTTCTGATTTTTTTTATAAAAATTAGCTTAAAAGTAGCTAAAGCTACTTTTGAAAAAAAGTAGCTAATAGCGCGCTACTTTTTTTGACAAATAGCTATAGCGGTAGCGCGCTACTTTTAAAAATAGCGTTTAACAACTCTGTAAATAGCTATGGAATATCGTGCTAATATAGAACACTGCAAATTATATATTTCAAGTTCGATTGGAACCGAAAAAAGATTAAAAAAATTGTTTTATCTTCATTCTCTTTTATTTCTGTAAATTCTATCCAACTAGACATTTTGTTAATATGTTGAGGGCCTGGCAGTCATACCCATCAAGACAAAAAATAAATACTTTCTACCTAAAGATATTTAAATGAGCTTTTATTTGATACCCATATCTATATTTTATGTTGATAAAAATATTCGTAACCCTCCAAGACCTAGACCCGCCCTCTATAGTGATTATTATTATTATAATAAAAAAAATATTATAATTACCTTTTATATGATACCCATATCAAAAAAAATATTTTTAAGACCCAGCCCCCCCCCCCTCCCGTATACCCACCCCCTTAGACCGCCCATTATGGGGCAGAAATTGATTTCCAGTTGAATAGATCTTTTGATTAACTATCGATTGATACCTATATCAAAAAAAATTATTTTTTACACTCCCCCCACCCCTTCCCCCTAGACCGCCCATTATGGGGCAGAGATTGACCTCCAGTTGAATAGATCTTTTGATTAGCTATCGATTGATACCCATATTAAAAAAAAATATTTTTTACACCTCCCCACCCCTACTCCCTTAGACAGCCCATTAAGGGGCAGAGATTCACCTCCAGTTGAATAGATCTTTTGATTAGCTATCGATTGATATCCATATCAAAAAAAATTATTTTTTACACCCCCACACCACCCCTACCCCCTAGACCGCCCATTAGGGGGCAGAGATTCACCTCCAGTTGAATAGATCTTTTGATTAGCTATCGATTGATACCCATATCAAAAAAAATTATTTTTACACATCCTACCCCTACCCCCTAGACCGCCCATTAGGGGGCAGAGATTCACCTCCAGTTGAATAGATCTTTTGATTAGCTATCGATTGATACCCATATCAAAAAAAATTATTTTTACACATCCTACCCCTACCCCCTAGACCGCCCATTAGGGGGCAGATATTCACCTCCAGTTTAATAGATCTTTTGATTAGCTATCGATTGATACCCATATCAAAAAAAATTAATTTTTACACCCCCCACCCTAGACCGCCTATTATGGGGCAGAGATTGACCTGCAGTTGAATAGATCTTTTGATTAGCTATCGATTGATACCCATATCAAAAAAAATATTTTTACACCCCCCCCCCACCCCTACCCCCTAGACCGCCCATTAGGGGGCAGAGATTCACCTCCAGTTGAATAGCTATCGATTGATACCTTATACTTGACATATCTTATATCATAAGGCCAAAAAAAACAAAATTAAAAACGCAACGAAACTCGTGGATAACGCTTTTAAAATAATATTCCTCTTTATTACGATTAAAACGTGATAATCCCATCCCGTATTATCATTCCTTAATTGAAAACCCTAATTTTTTAGTTATCCCTTTAAATCCCGTGAAGATCCCGGATAGTTCTGATCCCTTTAAAAATTACGACATATATATAGAGAAAAAAATAAATAAAATTGATTATTGCGTTTTTATATATTTTTTTAAAAAAATTCAGTCATACATTTCTGTTTTATTGTAAAAAGAAAAGGGAAAATATATTGAATAAAAGGTATCAAGTAAGAACATATTTGACTTTGAAAAACATTAATTATAAACAGTATAGTTTTATCAAATCTTTAGTATTTAAATTATAAATAATATAATTTTGACATTTAAAACGTTTTAGTAGTGGACTTTTAAAATAGCACCCAAGTTATAATCTAAATCATGCACACGTTAAAACAGATAAGTAACATTATTATAATTTTATAGTTAAAATCTTATATGTAATTTAGATAATTCATCTTAAAAAATTAATATTCGATCGAATAATAACTCAAATAACCGAGAAAATAATTCAAGTTGAATATATTACATATAAAATATTCGAACGTTAAAAACACTATAAATTAAATAATATGAAAACCTATTTTCAAATTTATTAAATAAATATATCTAATATTTTATTATAATGCTACAACTAATAATCTTTAAAAGGTAATTAATTTTTAAAATTGTTATTATATGAATCCATTTCTTCCGTTAAACCAGTCATCAAATTATTGGAAAAAAAATTCATATTAAAATTATCAACATCAAAGTTCGATAACAACTCTTCAGCCTCGGAATTCCATAAATCTTCAAACGGATTGCTTAAAAAATATAATTAACATTATATAACCATTTTTTTTACCTAATTTCATTTTCCATCATGGGTAATGTACTTTGGGGAGAAGATTTTTGAGTAGAGTCAGCCGAACTAGAAATTTCCACAAAATTGTTATTTTTTTTGTTCCTTTAATATAATATTAAAAATATTTCAAAAAATCTATACATGAAAAAGATATTTAAAGCAAAATAATTATTATGATTAATTTAATATAAAGTACAACTTAAAAATTACGAATCTCATTTGAATATTGGTTATATTTTTAATGCCTATTAAATACTTCAGTCCAGCGTTTATCCATAATGGTTTAGCCGAGTTTTTAATAGAAAAATTGGCTTCAAAATGTGAGACTAAAAAATCGGTAAAAACCTATAAGGGGAAAAACTAAGCCTTTCTTACTTTTATTCAAAAAAAGATACATATATTTTTATAGAGGTCTTATATTTTTAACTGCATAATGTTTTTCAAGATTTTTTGATTTTGAATATATGAGGCAGAATTATCAATAAAATATAGTCCTCCGATTCGTGGCCCGAAAAAAAATATTATATAATGTTTTTTTCAAATTCTGATTTTTGCTTGATGACAACGCAGCCTTAATTTTAGTATCCTATAATTGGTATTATATCAATGGTGGTTGCGAAATAGCCAAACACGATATTAGTATCTATCTCCAAACCAACTAAATTGACTATCCTCGTCAAAATTGACTTTTCTAATGCTTTCAATTCCATTCGCCGCCCACACTTTCTCCCACAATAATTCAACCAATTTCCCACCTTTTCCTAATTTTCCCACTCCTGTTATCATTTGTCATCTGAACTCCAAATTTACTTTCATAATCAGAAGGGAAGGTGATCCTCTGAGCTAGTTCTGCAAAGGTATCAATAAAATGGTTAAAAATATTTCAGTCGATTGTAGTCTTTTCATTGCACACCTGTATATCGGGGAATATTTTGCGCCCCTTCCCCCAAAGAGGTTGAAAGGCATTGGTCATCATTAAAACACTCCCAAAAAATTGGACCTTCATTAACGAGTAGAAAACCGAGATTTCCCCAATATATTGTTCCACCCCATTCATCCACACATACAATACTCTCGTCTCTCACTCATCTCGGCTCCTCAATCCGTGGTTTAGAATCCATCAATCACTTTTCACTAACGTATCATTTAATTTATTTCATTTTAAAAAAATCTCCAAGCATCTTCCTCCTTATCAAATTTTTTTCTTCTCAAAACATTTATTACATTCCTAAAATTTTTACACTCTCCGATTCACCTCAATTTTTTCTGATTCATTAAAATCATTTGAAACTTTCGTCAAATCTCTTGCTGAAGAGATCCTTAATTTCCTTCTTAATCATATTCATGGTTACAAGTATCACTTCCATTCGAGCTGGGGGTATCTGCTTACGTTCACCCAAAACCCTTTCTATCAGTGAATACATACATCGCTTCTCGTCTCTCATCTGATCCATACATTCGCCATCATTCCCTCTTTGACCCCTTGCTAGTCGACACCCAGACCATTTGGGAAAATTTGTTGTCCCAAACACTCCACGACCATCTTCGTGTTCACAGAAAGAGAGGGATATTCCACTCAATGAAGGTCTTTATGAAGATGATCCCACAATTTTTCACCAATCGAACCATGTATACGGTTATGAACTTGTGGAAACAATACCGAAACAACCTGGATTTGTTGCTATCCGCTGACGAGCTAAGATTTGTTATTGGATTACGGCTCAATTGTTCTACCGTACCAAAGTAAACATTGCGAAACCAGCGTTGAACAAGAGCGGACATTCCTTCTATTGCCGCTTTTATCGAGGTCGTAATGTATCCTTTTTCCTAAATTCTATTTTTAAATTTACCGCTTTTTAATTTTGTTATAGAAAAAAATAGATAGCAATTTAATAATTATATTAGCTATTATTCAAATAAAGAAACAAATAAACAGTTAAAATTATAAAATGAATTTAAAAAACAAAAAAAAATGTATTCATTTTTAATCATATTTTGTAATGAATAAAATAAAATAGATAAGTTCCCTTAAATTTCCAAAGTTATTTTTGAATATTATTTTGAGTTTATTTCTTCGTTTTTAATTAAATCGGGCATAGATTAAAAAAAATTGTGACCGGCCCTTGATAGAACTGAAGCCGAAAAAAATCCATTTTTCGAGTCTACGGGTCTAATGCAAATAGGAAATGGCACAATTTAATATTATTATATTAATTTTGCAATTTTATTGTTTGAAATTTTTTAATACATGAAATTCATTAAAAAAATGATTTAAATAAACATTTAACACCCGGTTAGATACTTAACAATCCTCAATTATATCGAATGGCTTAAAAATAGACTAATTTCTTAGTAAATGGGATACTTTTAGCAAAAGGCTTATATGTGCATAGTCGTGTTTCCCAAATCAGATATGGATACAGAGCCTTAGGAAACAAAAACATATATAATTAATCCATCTAAACAATATTCATTATGTTCCTATGATCACCTCCACTCTGAGTAATGACTTTCCTTCCAAAGAGTCAGGATGGAAAATTTCTTCTCTTCTAACTCTGTCAAAAATGGAATTAAATACTAATTGTTTATCCATTCATGGTTCTATGAATTATTGATAGTTCGATATAAAATATTTTTAATTTGTTTTTTTTAACTATATTTATTAGTTTTATTTTTATAAAATGTAGGGAAATAATTATTTCTATAAATTTATAGGTTTTTCACAACTAATTGTAACAGTAAGAAGAAAAATATAAAACTAAAAAAAATTTAGACATATATGTATAATATAAAGATAAATTATTTAATTAAAAACAGAGGCGTCATTGTCTTTAATTAAGTAAGATAATTTTAAATTGAATATGATATTTCAAATTTATTAAAAATAATATATCAAATAACCAATCAATCATTTATAATTTACTCTGCAGGAAGGGACGTTGTGGTCACCAATACTGTTCCAACATATCCATCTTTTAAATTGTTTGATTCATCTAATTAAATATTAAATCAGTATTAAACAAAATTTAACACATATATTCCGTTTATCAACCAAGTATTAAATTAACAATTTTTTATATAATATATTCGATTATGTTAAGGGAAGGGCTTAAAAATTTAATGTAAATGTTTTTATAGCTCTTCGATTATTCTGTTCCCATATTAAGCCCAAAGCCAACTCATAACATTTCATTGGAGACAATATAAACATGTGATTCCATATCATTATTTTCCTAGTTTTTATCCCCAACTTATTTCAAGGGGTATGGACTAGTATATGTAAACTGGGTCGATTTCTAAAAACGACTCGATTAAGATTTTAGGCAAAATAATATTATGTAAGCCTCGAGATTTGGCAAATAGAGATCCAAACCTTTCTGCCATCTATAAGCAAATTCTTCAGGTTTACATAATATAATTTGGGTAAAAATCTTAATTATTCCGTTTTTATCGACCTAAATTGAGCCATTTAACAATACTAGTATGGATAAGGCTGAACATTAAATTAGCAAATTTATTAAGGTCATCTTAAATTGTCAATATAGATTCAATAATTCCAACAATTGGTTGATATTAATTTTTGAAAAGAAAAATTTCGAATAAATTTTTAAAATTAAAAAGATGAATAATGTGATATGAACTTGATTATGTCTTAAAGAAAAACAAAATAGGAAAAACTAGGGCTGTACGACAGGTAATTTTACTAGGCGTAAAAATATAAAAAGGCTCAGGCGCGTAACCAGCGAAAATGAATTTAGTAAAATAATACCCCGTTTATTAGGATATTAAAAATTACAAAAAAATAGGAGAAAAAAATCCCTGTAAATAAATATATCCACGAAATAAAAATCCATAAATAAATATTTAAAAATTTTGAAAAAGTAAAGGTGAATTATCAAAAAATTATTTTAGGGATTTTTTTCCGGGGAATTATTTTCTACTTACCGGCCATAATATAAAGTCGATATTAATTAATGGTAAATTAGAAGCGTATTTATTTCTGCTGTAGTAAATTGAAATATATATGGTAAAAGAGGTAGGAATGATTGCCAAATATAAATTAATAATCATAAAGCAGTAATATTTTTGAAAAATATTTTAGCCGGTATCTGGGTTTTTTGGCTTAGGGGAAGTTGCGTATGTGCCTGTATGCATGAAGGAAAAATAATAAATCAACAAGCTAGCTTATCTTACAATGTGAAAGAGAAAGGTTGTACCCAATTAAGATCAAGGGAGGAAGGTGTAGAACTTTAAATCATTAAAAGAGAGGACATGTAGAGGAAAATAAAAAAAGTAATCCATCACATGTCCATGTTTCACCCAGAAAAAAATATTAAACCCTGTAACTTATTCAAAATAATTTAATTTTTCATTATTAAATATTACTTTCGGAAATAGAATAATATTTTCCAAATGCTATATTTTTTGATATGTCTGGATATAAAATTTTTAAATGAGGTAGATCTTTAATTCTGTCTGCAAGAGAACGTATGGAAAAATCTTTTGCTGTAAATGGTTTAAGATTCCAAACATCTAATTTATCTTGACCAAAAATAATAGTTAATCGAAAATGAATTACAAACCTGGACCTAAAGCGTTGTTAGTATCCAACCAAGCAATAGTTATACCTCCTAAAGTGGAATCGCTAAATCTTAATAAAAATGTATACTGAACTTTTTTCATTAACATGTCATGAGCGTCATTTCTACTAACAAATCCTATAATAGTACTTAAAAATTAAAAATAGTTTATAAATTATAAAAAGAATATTTACTTATCCTGCCAATGTGGCCTTAAATATTCCTTAACAATTAAGCATATATGATAAAACCATTGCCAAAATGTAAATGGCCTATTTTGTAGATGTTCCTAATTTATTATAATATTTAATATAAGTGTTGATATATATAAATATATGCCAATTTGGCGGGCGAAGTTATTAGGACATGATAATTAAGCGCAGAGATAATTCGGCCCATGTCTATTCTGCGGTCATATGACCCAAAGATAATTTGGCGCAACGATATTTGGACGCATGTCTACTCGTCGAGTGTCAATTTGATTCAGAACAAATTGAAATGGCGACAATTCCGCCAAATAAAATGATAAATAACACTTAAAGTTTTTTTTATATGTTACTTTTTTATATTTATTCATTTTTTTCTCTTTATATATATCTACATAAAACCTAATTAAAAATATTATAATTTATAAATTTATAATTATATAATTAAAAATAAATTTCTATAAATGAGTCCCCAAAAAGGAACCATAATTATGTCTAAAAATTTCTATTTGAATTTTTTGTCGAATAAAAAGGAATTCTCTGGGTTCATTTGTGAAAAGTCGTATTTTATTACCCAGATTTTTTAAAAACATAAATGTTGAAGGCGAAACATGCCCGTTAGTAGAAGTCACTACTGGAGTGAATATGAAGTTTTTAAAATGTTTGTATTTATTTGTCTTTTTAATTTCTGCCTGTGTTATAAATTTAAATTTATGTTTGAAGGGAATGATGAGACAGACACACGTGTAGTCCCATATGAGTGATTTGCCGAGGGCCAGAGGTATGGTTGTCATACCATCAGGTCTTAAACCATCTACTTGAGATAAATTTGATGGTTCAAGATTGTTTGGAATGTGTGCAGATGTTAAGATTCTATTTATTATATGGTTTACAGCTGAGTGGCGTTGATGTCGCCCTTGACTAAAAATACAATTTAAGCCATGTCTACCCTTTGAATCAACGGGTGATTTGCATTTGATGCAGGCATGAGGCTGTACTATATCGCAACCTAGACGTAAACCAATGGTTACTCTCAGTTGTTCATCTGATAAGAGATTACCAAGGTTGCGACTAGGGAGTGATTCTAACCATTCATGACCACCAAGTCTGTCAGATAATTGGAGGAGTTGAATGCAATCTAAGGGTGGATTGATTGATGTATCTGTTTGGTATTTCGAGATTAAAGGTGTGAAAAAATTTTTGTGTGATGATTGATGGTAATACGGTGTTAATGGTTTTTGCCTTCCATTTGTCAATAGCGTCGTCTAATAAACGATCGGTAGGGCATATGAAGCCAGAAATCATAGAATTGTTAAATAATCTAGATGATACGAATGATGATAAGGATAAAAGTTTGAGCGGACAAAAATCTAAACCGCCTAGTTTAGAAGGTAGCTGAGCAAGTGACCAATTGAATGAGTTTAAATTTATGTTTAAAATTTTTTCCAGAAATATTTTAAATTTATCCTGAATTTTAGATATGAATTTATTGTTTTTGAAAAAAGATGATGATCGGAAAATGTGCATAAATTTAGGTATGTAGAGGCATTTGCGAATTAAAAATAAAGATTGATGAGCTAGTAGGAGACTTAGAATGTGCTCCATACTGTAAAAGCTTTTAAAAATCTTGTGGAGAAAATCTTCCGACTTGGTCGCATTAGCTAATGGAGACCCAAGTAAGGTTAAGCTGACAGGAGCAATGATTTTGTAACTTTCCAACTTTTGTGGCTTATTGTTTAAGAAACATAATTCTGTTTTATTTATGTTGAGTACCAGGCCGATAGCTTGGGAATTGATTTCCAGGTGTTTTAAGGCTAGTACATTAGCTGAAGGGCCACAGATGGTCCCATCGTCTAAATACCATAGATTAAGATCTAGGTTGAAATTTTGTTTAATTTGGTAGATGAGATGATGGATTCCAAAACAAAAAAGAAGAGGTCCTAATGGATCCCCTTGTTGGATGCCCTCTTGGGATAAAATCTGATAAGATCCATATGTCAAAGGCGTCTGAAAACCATATGAGGATTCAATAAATTTAGAATAACAGGGAAAAGTTTTATAGAAGAATTTTAAAAATGAGGTACGATGTAGGCTATTGAAGGCATTTTTGAAATCTAGTTTACATATTACAGAATCAGGTGGTGGTTTTCTAAGTAAATTCTTAAGGTATGAGCCGCTATTTCACAGCCACCCTTGATCCCAAAACTAGTTGATAAGAATTTAAAATGCTGACAGCATCATGTTTGATGTGTTCGATTATGATTTTGGCTATTAATCTTCTGAAAAAGGAGCCTACTGAAATGGGAAGGGTACCATCATCTGGCTTAGACAAAGCAATTAGACGTGAACCAAAAAGAATTAGGTGAGTTTGTATTGGGATATCATTATTTATTATATTATTACAAAAAGTTGTTAAAACCTTGATGACAGAACTATGGGAAGGATTTTTTGAATTAATTAAGTATTGAAAATAGGAGGGTCTGAAACCATCAAGACCACCTGCTGAGTTTTTATTGAAAGAATTGATAGCATTGACTATTTCATCACTGGTAAAAATTACAGTCTGGTGGATTGGAGAGATGGGTAGATTATCTGTAGAAGCTTCAGGATGTAGTTGTTTCAATAGTTGTAATGTTTCTTCATTGATAGGAGAAAGGTGGTTATCTGAGGATATGAATTTAATTGCACCACCTATGTCACCTTGATCTATTTTATTTGATATTATTTTGCATTTGTGTGTTATATCATCTACTTGCTTTTTAACATTATGATTGTAGTTAATCATTTGAATAGTGTTAATATTATCAATGTTTGATTTTATTTGTTCATGTAATGGGGTCTCTTTGTTGTATAAGACATTTATGAGAGAAGGTTAATAAGTCTTCCCATGATTTTATACAATTTAAGTTATCATTAACTTTTGTGATAAGTTTAATAACAAAATTTGAAATTAGGTTTCTAGAATTATTTGGTAGATGTCAGTAGCGTAGCTACGGGGGTGGTTTTCGGGTTTGGACCCCTCCCAGAGCAAATTTTTTTTTTTAGATTATACATTCAAAAGACTTAAAAGTGACTTTGTATCAAATAAATACCATTAATATTTATATTTTTCTGGTTTTGATGTTTGACTAAGGATATTCTATTACTATTGAAATTATTCTGGGTAGTATTATTATAAAGTCATTGAGAATAATATACTAAATTATAATGACATATTATTCATGCATTTAAAAAAATATTTATTATATATTGTCGAAATATGTATGGACCCCCTCTAAAGAAAATTCCTAGCTACGCCATTGGTAGATGTGTTAAAGTGGATCCTTTTTTCCATTCAAAAAATTTTTCAAGAAAATCTGTGTTAATAGGGGGAGGATGAGGCTCAATAATATTTAATAAGGGTTTGGGTATTGTTAAAATTTCATTGGTTAAAGATTTTTGAGAGGAAGGACATGTTGACCCTTTGTAACTATGTTTGTATAAAAGATTGCCCTTTGTCACTTTAATTAGTTTAGCACAGATGCTACAAATTGTTGACATTGTTTTATTTTATTTTTTAACATAAGAATATTTTTATTATAAAAATTAAAATTTCTTAGCAAAACTATGTATATAGGATTATGAATATTTAAATTGATGTTACAAAATTGCTTGTTACAAGTTTGAGGGTATGTCTAATGTGCAAGAAAACTATGAGAGGTATTGTTTGTAATTTTGATCCTGCACATCTAGGCAATGATGGGCCAAAGAGACAGTTATGATTTTTACGTTTTCGGCAAGTAATTTGATTAATTTTATGAATGATAAAAATAAAAGTATATTAAAAAATTATTATTTTCGTTTCATGGATAGATGATCGAATATATAATGGGCGAAACAATATTTCATTTGTTGATTTAGTGTCACGTCATTTAAACGTGGAAATTTACCGTGGTCAATTGTTCGCACAATGCATAATTCAGCGAGCAAATTTTGGCATGAAGAAGCAAATTAAAATTTTTAAATATAAATAATACCGCAAGGTAATTCTAAAATTTTTACTTATTTTCTAAAATAATTTCTATTCTCTAGCATCCAAACCAATATTATATTTAGAGACAAAAAACCTCTTGTCGGGAAAAAAGATACAAAAAAATAATGTTGTTTTTTTCTGTTTTTTAAAAAAAAAAATAATACAATTAAAATCCTTATGGGAAATATATTCTGCCAACATCATATTTCAAACTTCTCATTATTATAATCATCTTAAATATAATCTACCAATTATCAAAAATGCCGGTATAGAAAAATCTTATAGAATTCATTGTATTTTAAGCCTTCAAAATGCAATTTTCATACCCATAGTCACCAACATCTTGGGAATCTTTGAGGATGAGGCTTTCCAATAGATCAAAAGTCTAGGAAAAAAAATAACTGTAGATACCGATGATCCAAATAAAGTATTATATCTCGAAAGAGGGTCTATGATCTAACTTCTCAAGAATTCACTGCTCCCTGTAAAAATTAATAATTTAGCTTTTTTCATAGTATCCTTTTTTAAGTCATTCTTTTACTATAAATTTTTTTTATAAATACCACGGTCAATTCAATATGATCAAATTTAAATAAATGTTTTTTACGTCAATATTAACTTTATTTAATATATATATATAATATTATAATGAATCTATAATATTAAAATGCATGATATTTTCTTAATTCATTCCATAGATAATGTTTCGCACTCCTTGGTAGAGTCTTGTTCCGTTCAATATCATTATTTTCTTTATTATTTTTAATAAATCTTAAGCTATGATATACTCTTACCAATTTTCCTGTTGTAGAAGTCTTCAATCGTTTTCTGTTTTTCGTATGAATATTGCCTCAAAACGACCAATTTCTTTCTGAAAAGAAGTCGAACTAGTAAATGTTAGTAAAATATTAGCTACTTCATTAATGGGCAAGGTGGACAAATTGCATTCCACCAATTTGAGGTCGAAACTGATTGTTTCTTTATTAAATATGCCGCTTTTACTTTTAAAATTTTATATATCACTTAAAATATTTAAGTATCACCAACTTGTAAAATACCTAAATCTTGTATTATATCACATGCTTCAAGAAAATTTGTACTAGTAAGATCCTCCCCTAGATATTGGGGGTCCAATAAATAAGCAGCATTGTGAGGACATGTATTTAGATCATTTTTTTTCTCTTTTCAAACATAACTTCTATTTTATTTTCTTCAGGTGGAGAAAATATAGAATAGTGGCATGATTGTATTATGTGTTTTTCCAAATTAAGCATCTCGTTTTTTATGTACAGCCCTTGCGCTTTCAATAATGAGGTAGCTAAAGGTTGTAGTATAACTAAATATTTAATATTTTTCGTCCAAAATATTTCTGTCGTAATTGAATAAAAATATTGAATTATATTTTTAGATTTGTAAAAGTTTGTTTTTACTTAAGTCATGATGATTTTTATCTAATTTTATTTTAATCGCGTTAATTATATATTTTTAGATCTTGTAAAATGATTTTAGTCATTATATTTTACAATTTTTAAGTTATTTTTAGTGTATAATTATAATTATGATACGATAATTTATAATAAGGTATTTTTAGCTTATAATTTAAATTTGAGGCATGAGTAGGGGGTTTATAATTTCAAAAGAAGATATTTTTAGTTTGTTAATTTTTAATTATTTTTTTTAATTATTATTCGCTCCCTTTTAAATTAATTAAATTGATAATTTTTTTGGTTTTATAAAATTGTAAATTTTGAATTTGATATTGCGTTGTAATTTTTCATTGATATTAGTTTAATAATAAAGTTAGGAGTTATATATTATTTCTGTTATAGAGTTATATTATTTCGGTGTAATATGGCACAACGTAAAAATTTATTCATTTAATATCTTATTAGTAATTTCTATGGGATCACATACAGCTTCTTCAATAACTGATGCTTTCAGGGCTTTCTTATATTCGTTCCATAAATTTTATTGATGATGCTCATCTTGCTTTGCTAATTGTACATAATGTAAATGGTATACCATGTTGATTCTTATTACGGGAATATACTGCAGTTGGTATGTGTTTATTCTTGAAATATAACAATTTTTTAATTATTAAAATATGGTAACTAAGTCGTTCAATCGTTCAAAATCGTGAAAAAATAACTGCAATGTATGCGCTGCACATAACATTGTATATGATTATAATAAGATTCAGATTCTAAAATTCTCCAGGCTGCTTTCATGTTAGCGGCATTATCAGTAACTAAAGAATATACTTTTACCAGATTCATTACATTTTTAAATTCCTGGGCAATATAATCTGCAGTATGGCGATTTTCCTTAGTATTTAAAAATTTGTAGAATACTGGAACTGGCGTCATCAACAATAAAATTAATAATATAGTCGTTTATGATGTTGCTCCAGCCATCTGATACAATTGATAAGTGAGGAGCTTTATTTATTATATCTGCAACTCTCGTCCATATCTCCTGACGCTTTTTTTAGAAGATATCCAGCGAGCAACCTTCGCCTGGGGACGTATATTTTTTAAGAATTTTTAGGGATTTTCAGTGACGTGGAAAGGTAAATTGCTCGCGTATATAGCCTTTGCAAATAATTGATTGAGCTCATTTTTTTTCTTTGAGATTTATTATATCTATAAAACCGGTTATACAAGATTGAGATTTACATTTAATGGCCTTGATTGTAGATTAATCAGAGATAATGGAATCAAATTTTCATGAGTCACAAGTAAAAATATTGTCAAATTGATAATCATTCTCACTAATTTCACCTAATTCTTCGTTAGAGCTAAAAGTATTACAAATTACATTTATGTGATTTTTTGTAGAGGTTGTTATTTTGAAATTTGAAAATTTTTTTCCTTAATTATGACAGGGCACATAGTATAACTGCGTAATATATGCTTGATCATAACGTTGGTAATATAGGACTTCTTGCAAAACCTGTATATCGCTTTAACTGATTTACATCGCGTACTTCGAAAATGTTTTCAAACTTGATGCTTTGGTTTGACCATAATCCCTAATATATTAAAATTTAACTATAAAAAATTGATTATTGTAAGTTAATCAATCTTAATTATTTTTTATTTATCCATCAATTATTTTTTAATTATCCACCAATTATTTCAATAATTTGGCTTAATATTATATAAAATATAATATAACCAGAACTGAATAAATTATTTTGTAAATCTGACCAGAACAACTAAAAAGAAAATTAATTTATAAATTCAAATGTAGCATGTGGAAGTAAAATAAATGAAAATTAATATAATTTGTACTCGGCTATATATTAAATAAAATTTAAATTTATTAAAAAATAAACCATGACAGCTAAATTATTATATTATTTATTTTAGTAATAAAAAAAATTCTTTTGTTTCCGATTCCTTCATGAAAGAAATATATTTTTAAATAAATTGTAAATGTAACCTAATAAGATTGATAAACATGCTTTTAATGCATACTAGTTAATTATATTAAATTATTTATTAGCCTATAATATTTTAGCATTCCTGTCAATAGACCGACATGCCAACCATGATAAATACCCATACTTATAAAATTTAATTTTTTTAATAGAATAATGTTTCTGTTATTTTTATCCGAGATATAAATATCGAATCTACAATTGAAATGTTAATATAAGCAGCTTCCATAACTAAAAATTATAAAATATAGGCATTTGAAAAATATTCAGTGTTTGTTGTTAATTTGGCTAAAATATGTGTAAAAGGTACTTTAATTAAATTGTTAACATGGTCCTACTAGAGTTGCTTTATTATTAATAAATAAACAAAAATTGCTGGGAGGCATCAAGTACAACGCCGAATTATATTTGGGTACAAATACCGCGTTGAAATGACATGCGCCGAATCATCCGTACCAAAATGTTTCTGAATTGTCGCGCGCCTAATTGATACTGCGCCGAATTCACTACTGTCTAATTGTCGCTGCGTCAATTTGGCTACCAAACATTAGTGGATGCACTCTAAGCGCTTAATCATTTTGCCGATAATGCCTAATTATCACTGCGCCAAATCATCATGCGCCCAATTCTCTTGACAAAGCCAAATTGACATGCGCCGAAATAACGCATTGATAAATTGTATTATTTTGGTGTAATGAAAAGTGGTCTAAAAATAAAAAGCTCAGAACTATAAAATAAAAATTTCACTTTCAAGTAATATAACGGCTAACGAGTTTATTTATAAAATGATGGAAACAATAAACTTCAAATTATAATATTTTAAATATTATTAAAATAGCTTTATCAGTCCAATAGAATTAGAGTTTCAATTTTATGCGGTAAAGTCAAATATGAATTATTATCTTTAGTTAAATAGGTACAGATATGTAATTTTTTATGATAAATAATAAAGAAAGTCAATTCCTCAAAATCAGTTATGTTTTTCTCGATAATGTGAGTATAATATATATTATTACTTTATTAAATTGAGCAATTGTAATAACAGGTGAGGTTTCATATTTAGCACCTAAAATATCTTCGATACTATCATTAAACTATAAATTTAACCTGATATTTTAGTACTAAGGTAGTAGAGGTCTTCTTCGGATAGTCCTTTGCCTACCATTGAAAAAAATTTATAATTTAACATTTCCGCTAATTTTATCCAAGGAACTTCAGCCCAAACTTTAAATGGTTCCCGATTCTAAATCAAATATAGATGCGTGAAAATATTTCATTTAAGGATATAATATAGACCTTTAGAACTATTCTTTAGGGTAAGATGAATAATTACTTGATTTTATATAAACTAAGGGTGTCATCATACTAATTAAGATTTTATAGTTTTACAATTAAAACAAAATAAATAGGTAACCCATTAAGTTAATAAACCAGTTATAATGTTCCATATTAAAATTAAATTATTATATTAATGTGGCAAAAACTATATAACTTATTTTAAATATTAACCCTTTGACGCCCAACTTTTTAATAATTAAAAAAAAAATCTTTTTCTACAAATTATTCATTTATACACTCCATAGATGCCCAAAATATTTTCAAAATTTTATTTTAAATACACAGGTAAAAAAAAATGATGATGCAATTTGACATCATCAGGCTTATACAAAAAAATACAAATATCTATTTATTATAAAAATCACGAAAACAATTTCTATATTGATTAAAATATAAATTATATTTTGCACATTTTGTCTATGCATTTATGCATAACTTGTAGCTTTGTTTCGCAGGAATTCGGTCAATGACCAATGTTGTCATATCTGATATCAGATATAGGAGCCATTATAGAAGAACTTTTTTTAAAAATTATTGTTCATTATAAGATATCTATGATTTTCTTTTATTAATTTTGCCTGCCGATAACAATGCGTTGACATTATGTGTTTTAAATTTGATAAGTTTCAAGAATTTATTCTCTTTTTTCATGGCATATTTGCCGCCTATACAAAAAGCCATGAATTTACTACATACATATCAATGAGATGAAAAATGTTCTCAGGTAGAACCTTTTACCTTTAATGTCTATACTATAACATTAAGCAAGTATATCATGTAAATCGACTCCTTCCATACCTTCATTATATATTTTTAATATATTTGGTGGGCACTTCAATATATTTTTTGCTACTTAGTTACCATCTTTTTACATTTTATATAGGAGAACACCGACAAATGATGAGATGACGTGCACAAACTTATTGTCATAACATTTGGCATTTCTTTTTTATCAACTTTACATACATAGCTCCCCACTTATCTCTAATTCTGATGTTGGATTAGTTTGATTTCCCGCATAAATCTTAAAATCATATACAATACCGTATAAATTTAGTTCACATATATTATTTAGTATATTATCTGAAATAAAAATTTTTAAGTAGATATGGAGTTAATATATTGGTTGAAGTGGAAAATGAATTAGTATAATTTGTGTCCAACTGATGGATATCACCTGCTCTCCATTTCATATTATTTTAGATGATAATATTATCATTATTTTCTGGATCTTCTATCTCGACTTGAAGATTATTAGATGTTGGTGTTGATAAAGTTGGAGGAGAATCATCGTAAAAAGTGTGCAAAATATCTTCTTAATTGTCTGATTCATCGATGTGGGACTAGTATTAAATTATTTGTCATCTAATAATTATACAGATTCATTTAAAAAATATAATAAATGTAAAATTATAATATAAGTCAGAGGAAATATGTCTTATTAACGTCAAATTCAAAATTGGTGTGGTCTGATTGGATTTAGAATAATTGGTGAAATATAATTATAACTTTATTATAAATATAAAATAAAATAAATGTTTTAAAAAGGTATTCTAATATCACAATGACTTATTTTGGCATCATGCACTTTAAGTTGATATAAAAAAGAGCATATTCCTTTTTAATAAAATAATTATTCATAATATTATACTCTTATCCTTAATAATGAACAAAAAATTTTGAATTATTAAATATTATCCACAGAATTCGTTATATTGTCGTTATAAAATCATATAATTTAAATGGTAAAAATAAAATTATGAAAATATGATTGGATGAAATTTAAAAATAAAACATTATGAGTTAATAATTTTAATAAAATACGAATATTTTTATTATATAAAGTTAATTAATCTATAGGCTTTTATAAATTTAAAATATATAATTATATTATATGATGTCAAAACAAATCGTGAGACGTCAAAGGGTTAATATTATTTCTGATGTTCAATAAAGAAACAATAATTTTCTAGAGAATTAGAGATTTTTCAAAAATGAGATTCACTTTTCTTATTCATACCATAATTAATAAAGAATTCAATATAAAAAAAATAATGAGCATAAAAGTTTATTTTTAAACTTGTATAATTCGAGCAAAATTTTAGATCAGGGATCCAAATCGAACTTTTATTTATCTAACCTGAAACGTTAAATAATTCTCTATCCGAACTGTTAAAATGCATGTGAACTATTCTTTTAAAAAATATTCAATTTTGATTGATAAGTTTCGATCACAATTTTTATAAATGTTTGTATATTGCTCTTTTAGAACATTTTTTAAATATTTTTAACTTCTTTTTTATGTATTCAAATTTTAAAAGCGCTCATTAATACTTAGGGATAAATTATTAAGTTGCTATAAATAAGTGTGGAAGATTCTGAATGATCTTTATCTGAAGATGATTATTAGAAAGTTTTCTTAAAAAAAAGGATAATATAAACTGCCATTTGTCGAAGATATACATAAATTAATTAAAATATTTTTAATATTCTCTGATTGTTCTAAATTAAAGAACTAGATTACATGAATTATATAAATTGTCTACTATGTTGTGTCGGTTACTCAAGTTAGCGTAGAGAGAAATGTTTTCAACAAAAAAATTTATGAGGTAAATCTACAATATATATTTTACAGTTCACTATTATTTTTATTAAGTAAATAATGTTCTCAAAATATTGCAGATAATAAATTATGCTTATTTGTATCATTTATAAATTAGATATTATGTGCAATTAATAATAAAATAAATGTTTTTTTTAATAGTGCTGTAAATGGACTTTAAAAAAGAAAAGCGTTACTCGTTAGGTTTGAAAGAGGGAACACGTTTACCGTTATTCATAACCTTGTGAAAAAAGGAATGCGTTATCCAAAATTCAAAAAATTACGCGTTATTCCTTACTTAAAAATTATTAAATATATAGAAATTTTCTTTTCATTTATTATCTTTCCCATAGATAATATAAAATTATTGTAATAATTTTTATTTACAATTGATTTTCAAAACTTTGATCGGATAAACAAGAGCTCTTAAGCTCAAAATAACTTTCACTGTGCCACACTAAATTTGGGCAATTTTATGTTTTTAGCCCGTTTAAACTATATTTTTAAAATATAGTAGCTCAAATTTGAAAGAAACTAATATACATGTCTTAATTTAACGGATAGCCGATATTTAGCCATTAGCCAACTGTACTAAAGACATGTTCAATTGGCGCAGATGGTGGGAGGAGTGTGGAATTTATTTAAAATATTAAACGAATGATTTTAATTTTCAAAAAAACTATTAGCTCATTAATTTATCTTTATCAGAATTTAATCGATTAATTTTTTATCTTCATATGTTTTTTTAGATTTAGGGTGCTTAATATATTCTTTACAAAATAAATTATAATATTATACAATTTACATTAACGTGGTTTAGAATTGGAGCGCTCGACATTAGAAAAACTTATAGATTAAAAATACAAGTAAAAAATTGTGAGGTAATTTATAATACTATTTTCAAATGATGGCCTAAAAAATTTTCTCAATTTTTGTTAGAATTTTATTAGATAAAATCAAAATGCAAAAAATTAACATGAATTATTTTTTTATTGCGAATGTTTCATTTCAATTTTTAATAAAAATAAAATAAACAGATGTAAAATTCTAATTTATTGATAGAAATAATAATTTGAATAAAAAATTATGACAATATTTAACTGATTAAATATATATTTTGTAGTAAATGAAGAAAATGAATGGAATAATAATATTAGTTGTGCAAAGGTAGAAGGTCCAGGGTGTAAATTTGGCAAGGACGAGATAAGGAGAGCAGTGAAAAAGATGAAGAAAGGGAAGGCATCGGGTTTAACGATGGTGGTATCAGAGATGTTTAAAGGTTCTGATGATTTAGGGATTGAATGGTTAATGAATTTAGCAAATCAGATTGTCACAGAAGGTACTATTCCCGAGGACTGGCGAAGAAGTATAATTATCCCAGTATACAAGGGGAAAGGTGATCCTTTAGATTGTGGGTCTTACAGAGCTATTAAACTCTTGGAACATGCAATGAAAGTATTTGAGAGAGTGTTAGAAAAGCGGATAAGGGAACAAATCAAAATTGATGAAATGCAGTTTGGTTTTACATCGGGAAAAGGCACGATAGATGCAATTTTTGTGGTGAGACAAATTCAGGAGAAGTATCTTGCGAAGGAAAAGAAACTCTATTATGCGTTTGTTGATTTGGAGAAAGCATTTGATAGGGTGCCGCGTGAGATTACAAGATGGGCCTTGAGAAAATCCGGTGTGGAGGAATGGTTAGTTACCGCAGTGATGGCAATGTATGTTGGAGCACAAACAGCAGTACGGACGGATCATGGTGATAGTGACAGCTTTGAGGTGAAGGTAGGACTTCATCAAGGATCCGTGCTGAGTCCATTATTATTTATCTTAGTAATGGATGTGGTGGCTAGAGAAATGCGTGAAGGACTTCCCTGGGAGATATTATATGCAGATGACCTTGTATTAATGGCAAACAGTTAGGGAGAATTGAGGGATAAAGTTAGTAAATGGAAGATGACTATGGAAGCAAAGGGCCTGAAAATGAATGCATCAAAAACAAAGGTGATGATTGGTGGGGAAAATCTAAAGATAGAAGAATCAGGTAAGTGGCCTTGTGGTGTATGTGGGAAAGGAGTTGCTAGAAATTCTATCCAATGCATCAGATGCCAGAAATGGGTACATAAAAGATGTAGTGGGAAAAAAGGCAGTTTGATGTTAGAAAGAATGACCTTTATTTGTAAAACATGCATGAAAGGGATACATAATAATGATAACCTAAAAAATGGTGGTCTGGATATTGGCAATGGGTTAACCCTAGAAAAAGTGGATAAGTTTTGTTATTTAGGTGATATGCTAAACGC